ATAGTAATCAAGTAACAATAATAGTAATAATAAGAGGAAATGTAAATTCATAAAATAGATGCGGAGAATTGCGGCTGAAGAACGCTGAACAGCTCTTCCTTATAGCGTAAAATTATTCATTAATCTCTTTAGTGATGAATGATTGCTACAAAAAAGTTCGTCGTGCTCGTCAATTTCGATAACCAAAAAAACAGCGATTCGCATTTTCTTTTATTCCTCTACGAATTATCTCAAAATTAGCTTAAAGCATAATGCACTTTTAGAGCCAGGTAACGAATACCTCGCAACAAGTATCGCAGGTACTCGTGTATAGATCGAGATCTTCGACTATATCGATTAAAGACTTGTCACTTGATCGATCAACATAAATTACACGAAAGAAATAAAATCGATTTAAAAAGGATAAAAAAAAAAAATAAAATCCTCTCTTCGTAAAACCTACAACTGAATTATAATTTAAACATTATCAGTTAAGGGTTAAAAAAATAAAACTACTCTTATAACGTCATGCTTTTTAAAAGGAATAATTTTTTCCACTAAAACTAAACGAAACGAAACACAAACAAAATCACAGATCGAACTATGCACGAATACGTACGGTTGTATATTTGTCTTAACTTGTTGCCAATATTTAAAACTTTGCACAGAAGGAAGCATCGTGTGTGCTGGACTATATGTATATTATAGAGTTAACTTCCGTTTTTTTATATACACATATTACATATACAGACGCGGCGGTATGTATGCACATGTAGTTTCAAACGAAATGACCTGCCTCTAAAGAAAACTAAAAAAGAAAAAAAGGAAAAAAATTTGCCTCGTGCATGTATCATAAAATCGTCGCGAAAAAATATTAAGAAAGAAAAAGAAACGAAAAAAAAAAACAACTCAACGATAGAATACATAGATTCTCGTTATGGGTTAAGAAGACTCCTGAACGTCTTGAAGTTAGTTTAAGACATCTTAAAATCTGTCGATCGATTCAAGAATGATATTAACCTCTAAAGATAAATGTTGAAGAAATACTGGATTACTTTTTTTTTTTTTTTACGATCATGTCAATAACGAAACAATCATCGTAGGATCGTTATGGTTTCGTTACAACGCTAAAATCTCATCGTTTAAACGTTTCGATAAAGAATTTTTCTTTCCCCTTAATCGCCGAATTTCACGGAGTAAACGTATTAATTATTATTGATCTATCGAACATCTTGTTCTTTTAACGCTCTCACTATCTTTTTCGAGATAAAGCAAAACTACGCGATTTTATTTTACAGAGATATATACGCAGGAATTTCTGCGTAGAAGAGTTCAACGAATTATCACAAAAGAGTACGTCTTTTCTTTGTGAACCGTCGATTGTTTAAACTTTTTCTTCTGCCTATCTGTACACGTATGTAGCCTATGTACTCTGGAAAATTTCACGCGTATCGTAGAAGAAACAGATCTGTACGTGAACGCATTAGGACTTCCTATGCAAGGCTTCTTTTTACAAGCAATGTTCGTTCCCTCGTGCAAAATATAAATGCTAATTATACAGACACGTAATTAATTGGCGTTACAGAACCTTTACATTTTTTCCTTTTTCAAAATTCTTAACGATATATGATATAGTAATATAATAACTATATTAAAATTAGCGCAAAAATGTAACAATAGATTAAGAACGTTGTACTGTTTAATGATCTCTTTTGGAAAATTCTTTCTTTTCCCTCTTTCTGTTGTTCACGTAAAAAAAGTCATAACGCATTTTGATTATATATGTATATATATATATGTACACACACATATATATATATATATAGACACAATAATATGGCGAGAACATCGTGGTGAAAAATATGCTGGACACCAAAGGCTTTATGCGAGAAAGGGCTATTACACATCCCGTCAGCGTCGTATGTCGTAGTATATCGTCGTCGTCTTAGTTGTTGTTACATCTCGTTTACGCATCTCACGTACAAACTTTGCTAAAAATAGTACAATCTAATCGAGGATATATAGAAAAATTGAAAAATATACAAGTTATAAAACACATAGAACGCCATTCATCAGGTAGCGAGTGACTTACGAAGTCCAACTATGTTTCTCGTTACAGTTTCTGTCCAAGTGCTCTCTTTTTCCCTCTCTTCACCTAGTATCGTATAGTATATAGCGTATTTCTCACCTTCTTCGCAAAGGTACAAATTTTCTACTCCCTTCGCCACTTTCTCGTACTCAAGATCTTTCTTTTTTTGACTCGTAAAACGAATAAACTTTACATTCTGCTACATTGATTTATCACGCAGCGGCCTCTGTACAAATGATTCGTCTACTAGACAACCTTATTATTGTATCGCACACGTTCTTTGGTATCCAACAGGCTTCCCCACGCCGATTTCGAGTTTGACCGGACATTAGTCGTGGTATGGGCAGTGAATGAACAAGCAAGTACCAATATTAAATGGGCAGGCTCTCCCACTGAGGTGCCCATTCTGGAAGTCGTCAATCTACATTCGATGGTGGAGCAGCGTATCTGCTCCGTGAGTCAGAATCTCCGTCGCAAATATACTTCCCTGAAAGAACATGGACAAATGTTCGCCTTCTTTATCCTCTTGGAAATGAAAAACGATTCATGCAGGAACATCGTTTGAAGCTTAAGAAGCGAAGAAAGCTACATAAATTATAAAGGAAAAGAAAGGTATAATACTTACCAGATACGAATCTACGCTTTACTAAACTTAATCTATATCCCGGGCCTAGAAGCTCGAATTCAACTCCAGATAATGTGGTCCCTTCGCAATTGAATTGCGTGAATATCGTTCCTTGGCTTCCTGGCCCGTGTGCGAGCTCTACTCTCGCCTTTAGAGAGCCCACGCCGTTCCCTTCACTATGCTGCGACAATTCCGTGAATTTCCATAGTACCCGATTCGTGTCTGGTAACCATTGAGCCTGAGGTTTACTGTTTAAAGACTTGAAGCCTCCATCTATGGGCGCTGCCACGTGGAGGTTCAATAATGGGCTCGGAGAAGCCATGGCGCGACTGTTGTATTTATAATCAATCTGGAAAACGGATTATATCATTCAATATCATCAGGATATTCTCGTATTTCCAGTAATAAATAGTACCTTGAGATCGGTATGAGTGGATTCACACTTCCAATAGGCAACCAACTGAAAAGGACAAGAGCCAGCGCCCTCCTTGCACTTGATCTGATACTTGAGTATGTCGACGTTAAAATACGAAGCCGAGGGATTCTGTTCAGCCTGTTTGCGTAATAGCGTAGTTAAGGCACTCATGTTGAATTCAAAAATTGTACTGTCGACAGTTGTCTGCGTGGCATCCCTACAATGAAATATAAACGAATCCTTGACAACATTCTCGAAACGAATTCAGTTTAACATCAATTGTGTCGTCGTAACACAACTTACATGCTAACGAGCTGATTATTAGGAAACAATTTTTCCAATCTGTTACTATTTCTCACGCGAAACGTCAGTTTCGCAGGACTCGGATTGTTCGCCAGCACGGCGACGATACCAGCAGGGAATGATAGCATCATGTCGCCGCTAAGCTTTACCTGACACCGTGTCTCATCGGTGCCCCTAAAAAAAGAGTGTACTATCTCGTGGAAGGCAACCGCTAGTGGAATAGTGTCTGCTAGTCCTATCGTGAGTGGGGACGGTCCCCTGGACGAGCCAACTCCTACACCAGCTGTACGGAATTCCAAGCTGGCAACACTATCTGCTCTAGATATCGTCGCTGGTGACATTCTACCCCTTGGCGATGGACCCTCTCCTCTTCGGGACGGTGGTCTAGGAATGATAATAGATCCTGTCGGTGTGGAAGATGCGGATTGCTTGGGGGGTAAGGCCGGAGTGATGTCTCCAATTTCCGAGAACAAATCTCCATCTAGAATGGAATGCAATTCTCTTTAAGAAAAATCTCAGACACTCTCTTCCTCTCTTCCTACATATATATATATATTCTTTTGCTTCTGTTTTTCCATAACACACACACACACACACACACACACATAATGACATAATACACTCTGACAAGACACAAAAAGCGTCCTGATGAGCTGAGAGCGCAACAAAAGTGACAACTCTCGGTAGACTCACCAGGGAATCGCGAGTGAAGGTGTGTAGGTGGTGCGGATTGTGACGGCTGTGGTTGAGGCGTCGGTGACAAAGACAGTGGCGGAGGACTTTGCAATGGCGCGTACGGATGACTACCAGTCGGCGTTGAGGCGCTCGATGGTGTACTGCTAGGATTGAACAAGTTTAGGCCAAGTAAATCCGAGCTTGGCTTACCTCCTAATTGCTGTGACACTGACTGAGACCTTTTCATATGATGATCTGAGTCGGTATTTGATCCTCTGCGTCCCTATTAATTACATAATCGAATTAGTATCGTTTCTTTTCTTCAGGGCAGATAAAATAACTTGTTCCAGAAGATTAATCTTTTAGAATGAGAATTAATGGAGAAAAAGGAGACAAAGACGAAAGAAGAAGGAAGTGATCGTACCGTTGGTGCAGGCGATAAGGATAAATTCTCCACCGTTGCCCTGAGCTCATCCACGCTGGCGCTCATCGGTGCTCCGCCATTGCTAAGTGGCTTTATTTCCACTCGGATCTTTCGTTCCCTCTCGTCCTCAGAATCGCTGTCTGAGCTAGAATAAAATCCCTTCTCATTCTCCCACGGCTCTGCTTCCGGTCTAATACAGAAACCGTCCTCATCTACTTCCGGTGTCGGTGTTTCAGACTTTCTACTGTCATCCTTATCCTCCCTATTATATAGAATTAGTGTGGTTCAGTGGGATGAACTTTCGAGAGTTCCAGCAGGCCCAGTGCATAT